CCCAATAGAAGATCCCTCATTCTTCACATATACCCACTTGTAACCTATAGTTCTTTTACCATTAGGTAGATGTGCAAGTGTCCAAATGTCGTTCTTCTGAAGAGACTACATCTTCTCCTCCATAGCTTCCCTCCACCTGATCGAATCGGGGCTAGAATCTGTCTCCCTGAATGTGGATAGAACCATATCATCAACGACCTCCACTGATAATGCATATGTGACAATGACATCATTATACATAGCTGGTTGACGGATCACCCTCCTCGGTCTATCTGCTGTAATGGACCACCGAACATGACCCTATTCCTGAGTCTCACCTTCCACTGTATTCTCAATCTGCCCGGTTATCATCCTATCTCCTCCTAGTGTCACCTCTGTAGGAGCCTCGATGGATACAATGCTCTCTGGAGTGGGTGGAGTCACATCATCCTTCATCTGCTGTGATATCTTAACTGTCTGGTATTCCTTCACTTGCTGAGGGACTCGAGACCTCATCATGTATGCCTCATCGAATGTGACATCTCTGCTAATAACTATCTTCTTATCCTGTGGATCCCATAACTTGAAGCCTTTAACTCCATCTCTAAATCCCACAAAGACTGCTTTCCTCGCCCTCGGATTTAATTTACCATCACTGACATGGTAATAACCTGGACATCCAAATATCCGAAGCGACTCATAGTCACTAGCCACCGAATCAAACCAACACTTCAAAGGAGTCTTCCCGTCTATCGCAGTGCACGACAACCTATTCACGAGATGGCTCACATAAACCAACGTCTCGGTCCAAAAAGATCTAGGCAATCCACTCTACATCATCATACATCGTACCTTCTCCAGCAAGGTATGGTTCAATCTCTCAGCCATCCGGTTCTGTTACGGTGTCTCTCGAACTGTGAAGTATCTTCTAATGTCGTGATTCCGGTAAAATTACAGAAACGAATTACTCTTGTACTCTCTACCGTTATCTAAACATAGAGTCTTCACCTTTCTATCTGCCTGCACTCCACTTTTTTTTTCCACTCTACAAAAATATCCAGGACCTGATGTTTATGCTTCATAGGGTATATCCAATTCCTCCTAGAATAGTCATCAATAAAAGTGACAAAATAGTTGGTCCCACCAAGAGATGTGTTCTTGGAAGGACCCCAAACATCCGTGTGAATGTAATCCAATGTACTTCGAGTGTTGTGAACAGCGGTGCCAAACTTCACTCTAGTCTTCTTCCCGAGTACGCAGTGCTCACACAGTTCCATCTTACAGGTCTTAGCATCTTTTAATAGCCCATGTTTCATCAATGACTATAGGGACTTATCACCTGTGTGTCCAAGTCTCATATGCCATAAAGTGATAGTGTCATCCTCTGTAGTGATAGAAACTGCCAGACCTCCTATAACTGTCTTACCCTTCAAGTAGTATAGGTTATTTTTTCTGACACCTCGCATCGCCATCATAAAACCCTTAGTGACATTCACTGTAGCATCCTCTAAGATCACTCTATATCCAGCTGCCTCCAAAGTCCCAAGAGAAATGATATTCTTAGTCAATTACGACACGAACCTCACTTTCTTCAACTCCTTAATCACTCCATCATTCATCCTAATCCGGACTGAACCAATACTACCAATAGGACATAAGTGATCATTATCCATAAGCACGATATCCCCTTTTTTCAGCTCCTCAAAGTTAGAGAACCAATCCCTCCTAGGACATATGTGATATGTAGCTCTCGAATCCATCATCCACTCTGTGGAATCAACATAGCAAACCGACGGTAGTGCAGGGCACGAGTAGCCCGAAGAATCTGAATTTGAATGCTCAACAATAGCTTTTGCAACATTCACTTCTGAAGCCTATGCAGCTTTTTCTTTGTTCTTCCCGGTTTTTTTTCCACTTTGGGCAGTCAATCTTCCAATGTCTTTCTTCTTTACAATACCGATATTAATTTCTACCAATACTCTTATAGGCACTCCTATTCTTTGACTTTGAGCGGTTGAACTGGCGGCGGTTTGGATCACAGCATCGAACAGCTAATGCATCTCCCGATGCCTTCTCGGAGGGTTCACCATCATTCTTTCTCAACTCATAATTCACCAAAGCTAAGGTCACCACCTTATAGCTAACTATAGTTCTTTCATTGATCATAGTTAGAACAAACGTACCATAATCATCATCGGACAACGAACACAAAAGTAACATCGCCTTGTCTTCATCCTCAACTATGATGTCTATATTGGCCATATTTGAAAGTAGCTTCGTGAAATTGTTGACATGCTCCCTGATGGAAACTCCTATTTTTATCTTGAACTGGTAAAACCTCTTCTTCAAGTAAAGCCGATTCTCAATGCTCTTCGTAAGATATTTTTCATTGAGTGTTTCTCACATCTTCTTCGCCGACGTCTCGTTTATAACATCATAAATAAGATCCGACATCAAGCATGACCTAATAACACCATAAGCTTTACTGTTCATCTTCCTCCAAACATTATCCTTCATATCAGTGAGTTTCTCTTTTAACTCAAGAGTCTCATCTAAATTCTATGTATCCAAGGCGTCCATGACCTGACATCTCCACAATCCGAAATTGATCTTGTCATCAAACTTCGGAACATCAATCTTCGTGTTATTGATGCTCAGACTCTGTATCGTCTTCGTAAGAGATGAACCTGATGTGCTTGCTTCTCCCATGTTACCGATCTAACTCTTCAGATAAGAATCTTTACCGAATCCTTCAAACAAGCCTGAAGCTCTGATACCAATTATTGTACGCGACGAAAGTTCTCGAAACGACACGAATAATAACTCGAGATAAATCACAACCAATAAGCAAATCACAATCACAACAAGAACAACGAGTTTAACGTGGTTCGGCAAGTTGCCTACGTCCACGGGGCAAGGAGGGGGGAGTTCTTACTATTAGAAATCAAGAGAATACAAATAAAGTTACAAATCTCACCGATCAAACCCTAAAACAAAGCTCTAGATCTCTCACAAATCTCCCACAATTGGATGCAACAATTCTTTTCAAAAGACTGCTCAAAATCGTCATTGCTTAACCCTAACTAATTACAATTAGAATTATATATCAACTCAGAAACAAACCGGGTTAAAATTCAAAGCCCAGCCCAAAAACAGTCTACGGTCGATCGCGGCGGTCGACCGCGCAGGTATCGCGGTCGACCGCGGCAGTCGACCGAATCAAAAACCCGAGAGCAGAATCGATTACAGTTATGACGCGGTCGATCGCGACGGTCGACCGCGTCGGTCCACCGCGGCGGTCAACTGAATCTCATCCCGAGACCAAAAATCACCTACAGGGTACGCGCGGTCGACCGTCACGGTCGACCGTCACGGTTGACCGCCTTCAGCTCCGAATCCTACTATCCTTCTGTGCACCCCCCGACCGCCAGTCTGCCTGATCGATTCTCCTGAACTTCCTGCTACTTCTCTTGCCACTTCTTCACTTAATCGATCTCAAATTGATTTTAAACATACTCATTCATCCCAAATTAATATTAATCACAATAAAACTCACTTATTATTATTTTCTCATAATATAATAAAATTTACGGGGTTTTACAATGACAATGTGCAGAAGTTGGAGATTTAGCATACTTACAAGCCCCTGCTCATCTTTTTCTAGTTAGCTTTATATGGGTCTGGTTATTTGGATTGATGTTTCCTATATTTATCACATAATCAGATGCTCGTATCTATGTTTTAATTACTTGGATGGCTGGCCATTTAATTTTATACTAATTGCACTATTTATTACTTTGAATGTTTTTCATCAATTGATATATCGTATTTTGCTGATGTGGCATACAAAATTTCTCGGTCATTTGATATAATAGATTTCTTCCCATGTGTAATATCTTGCTCGCTAATGAAAATAAAAATTTGTGACATATCAAGCAACTTGTATTGGGTAATCATATTACTTTGGCATTATGTTCTTAAAAATATTAACTTGTAAAATATAGAATAAGTGAACCCCCACCCCCCACATCCCAAAAAAAAAAGCCCCCCCCAACCCCCCCAAACCAATAAAAGAAAATAAAATTTGGATGATATATCCGATAACCCACCATAACTTTTTTTAAAATATTAGGACCCCCACCCCTCCCCTTAAGTTTAGGGGAAAACCTCATTTAACTTTGAGATTTTATTAGAAAACCCTAACTTTTAGGGTTTTTTTCTAATAAAATCTCAAAGTTAAAGGGGGTTTTATAATAAAATCTTAAAGATAAAGGTGGGTTTTCCAATAAATACTGTACTTAAGGATGGTTTTTTGATATTTTGGAAATTATTGGGGTTATCTGATAATCGTTTAAAACTAAAGTGTTTTCTAATATTTAGCCTAAAATAAATGCAAATTTACAACATAAACTGACAGAAAACATTAGAAGTGACTAACAGTCTAATTAGTATTTAATTAGATGACTAGTCATCCAAGCAATTAAAAATAGGTATAAACATCCAATTACTAGATAAATATAGTGACCAACTCTCCAATTATCCAACTGTCCCTATATAGGTCCTACAAATTTAAATCTCAACCTAAAGCTATGTTATGAAGTCTCCCCGTTGACCAATAGAAGATGATATGAGTAAGGAATATTGTTGTGTAAGTAAGCATTTAATTTTTTACAGACTAATGTCCAGATATTTTATTAGTTGCTCTTCGAAAGTAACTGCAAAAGCCCTCTAGGCTGGTGTATCCATAGTTTTATTTGTGCAGGGAACTTGGAACACACTGTTAAAGAACCAGAGTGTTAAAGTATTCATTCTTCAGTGAACTTACATAAGAATATATGTATAACTTCTCATTTCAATTAGAACACTTGAAAGACTGATTAGTATATGTCCCACGGATAGATTAGGCGCAACAACTAGTTGTTTCGATTTTCCTACGCATCCTTGATTGTATTGAGATTGGGAATTGATTTGTTTCTTTATAGAGATTCAAGAGGAAGTACTAAATTCATTTATGTGCACAGGGTTTTCTAGAGAATAAAGCATATCCACTGTTGGAAGGATGTGCTACTTTTCTACTTGATTGGTTGATTGAAGGTCGTGGAGGGTATTTGGAAACAAATCCTTCGACATCACCAGAACATTCTTTTATTGCACCTGATGGCCAGACTGCAAGTGTCAGCTACTCAACGACTATGGACATGTCAATCATAAAAGAAATTTTCTCTATTGTTATTGCTTCTGCTGAAGTAAGTAAAATAGCTTCCTACCGACTTTGTTTGGCTGAAGATGTTTGTGCTTGTGAATTTTGCTATTCGGAGAATCAGATATTTGGATTTCTGCATTAAAGATCATACAAAAAGGTCAATCTTTACATTCCTTTTATGATGTTAGGTTTTGGGAAAGTCTGATAGCAGTTTAATCAGTCAAATTAAGCGAGCAGGATCAAGGCTGCCCCCAACAAGAATATCTAGGGAGAACTATATCATGGAATGGGTAAGTCATAAGTGAACGTTATTAGTCCTTTCATATTGTTAATTTTATTGCTATCACTGATACTACATAAGCATTCTTAAAAATTACTTTTTTATTATTGTGGAATGGACGTCCCATGGTGGAAATTAGTCTGTCTGTTCGTTCATGGCAGGCAGAAGATTTTGAGGATCCTGATATTCATCATCGGCATGTGTCACACTTATTTGGTCTCTTCCCAGGTCATACAATCACATTGGAGAGTACTCCTGAATTGTGTAAAGCTGTTGCCAATAGCCTCCTGAAAAGAGGTTTGTTGCCCAACGATCTAGCTGGAATTCAATTTAACTGAGATCAATATCTATCAGAGTTCAATTTAGCTGTCTATTAAAATTATCAATTGTTCTTTCTAACGGCAAAGCTGATATGATTTGTTCTGTAAATAATCAAGCATGGTTGTTTCATTACCAAGTACTATTACTGTTCAGAACACTTGACAGATTTTAGTTATGGTACATTTGAACAATCTGCTGTGAAGGGAGATTGATGAAGAAACTGTTGGAACATTTAGTTTCCACACAGTATTCATACATCTTTGAATATTGTTAGCATACTTCTAAGATTCATTAACAAGTATATGACTTTTGGTTAACATTCTCCCTGGAAAATATTGCTTGCTTGCCATTTATTCGACTGCTATCCCGTATCCCGTCACCGTTACCTTTTTGTATATATTACCTGGTGAGGTATCATTTCTTTGTATTTTAGTCATAGCTGTCTAATATATTTGCAGACTAGCAGAGCATCAAGGTAATTATCTCTCCCGCTGCAATTCCTTGTTTATCTGCTTCTGTTTTACACCTAGCCTTTTGCTACTCTGCCTTTCCAATATGTTAGTATAAATATTCCTTACGTAAAATTTTGTTTAGGTCCCAATGATTTTCCAGAAAATGTTTTCCCTCCCTTTCCCTTTCTCCATTTCTTTTAGGACCCTCAAATTAGTGTCATCTCTATAACTCCTTATAACTCTTAGAGTGAATTCCTTATACCTCTAATAATGAACATTCTACATAATTATTAAATATCTTCAGTCTTTACACATTTTATTTATAAACATCCACCACAGTTGATCCTACATCCGCCATAACAACAATCCTCGGGCACACAAAATATTGAAAAGAGAAGAGGTTAAACATATATACATAGTTTGGCCTTTTAGTATGTCTATCCTTCTTCAAACTTCTGTAAAATTTCCCTTTCTTTCTCATCTTCTCACATCATAATTCATGTCGTACCATCCAATAAATTGAACTTGATTTTCATGACTAACGCAGGAGATGAGGGTCCAGGATGGTCAACTACGTGGAAGATGGCTCTATGGGCTCGTCTTCACAACAGTGAACATGCATATACATTGATCAAGCAACTCATCAGTTTGGTTGACCCAGATCATGAAAGTGATTTTGAAGGGGGTCTTTACAGTAACTTATTTACTGCACATCCTCCATTCCAAATTGATGCTAATTTCGGGTAAGCATTATGAACACTCTTGTCCCTTGAAGAAGACTCAGTTTTTGCATATAGACACTGATGCAATTGCCTGCGTTCAGTTTTACAGCAGCAATTGCGGAAATGATTGTCCAGAGCACAATACAAGACGTTTATTTACTCCCTGCTGTGCCTCGAGATAAATGGGTGGAAGGATGTGTCAGAGGATTGAAGGCTCGAGGAGGGGTTACAATTAATATCTGTTGGAAGGAAGGGGAACTTCATGAGGCCCGTTTTTGTTCAAAGAATCAGAACTCTATTAGAAGGTTGCATTACAACGGAAAAGTTGCTACTGTGGAACTATCAAGTAACAGAATTCACACATTCGATAAACATCTGAAGTGCTTGAATACCTATCAGTTAATGGATGGAGGAGTACTGTGAATATCCGAGTTTAAAAGGACGTGAGGATTGCTCTTTCCTTTTATTAGGATCTTGATCAAGGCATATAATTAGAGGATCAGGCAAGAGTTCTGTTGCACAATCGAAGTTTGATAAAAGCGTAAAATAAAATGAAAAATATGCTGATCATATGAACAATGAGAGCAAGAAGCATTTGGGTTTCGTAGGTTTTCTTGATAGCTTACCTCTATGCAGTGGCGGAGCCAGGATTTTTAACATATGGGGTCCTAAAATTATTGATAATGTAGATTTTACGCACAAGTTATTTTAATGGCAAACTATAATTTAAAAACACATATGGGGTCCAAAAAAATCGTGAAAATATGCAACCCAGCAGACTCGAACTCTGGTGGATTATAGGGGTCCTGGAGTGTTAAACCACTGGGCCATTGCTGCACTTATGTTTTTTATATGTAATATCTGGTACATATTTAGATTTTACTGGGGTCCTGGGACCCCATTGGACTCAATGTAACTCCGCCCCTGCCTTTATGTTTATTTTGGCATTACCATTCAATTCTTTGTCACTTTAAAGATATTTATATTCATTTGGACAGTTATATTGACTATTTGCATCGTGGTATGAGTTCCCAATTCGTAAGCAAATCATGCTGGTGGTATTCTCTGCCTCATGCAATTGGAAAGGACATAAAGTAGGCACAACTTAATGTAGTTTTAGTCTGTTGAAGCGTATACATTTCACTTAGAAACATTCAATTAAATAAATAGAGAGCAATTGTTTAAGTCTACTTAAGTAACATAATTTCCATCTCATTGTAATATTTCAAAGTATGCAACCGTAGTTATTAATCTCACAAAGGAGGACTGTACGCAGAACCTGCAGCAGACTACATGCTTGTGTTCAGAACTCATGCTGCAAACTAACTGGCATCAATGTCCTATAAAGGACCAAGCATTGCTGTTAAATGTTTGCCCTGTGCTCCTACGTCAGGTTTTCAAATTTCATAAGTCCTCAAACAAATAATTGTCAACTTCTGATTAAAAGAAATTTCATGCTCAGCTGCCATTAAGAAAATACTTCTCAAGAGAATCAGTACTATTAAAAAAAACAAAAAACAAAAACAAAAACAAAAATAAAAACGGGGGAAAAAAATACTAATCTCGTTTCATTTGCAACACTAAAAGGTATGCAATGATTCAGGCTTTATGAAGTCAACGCAAACAGGAAAAGAAAATGATAAAACAAGCAACGCGTTCAACATCTATTTGCATGTACGTTGTTATCCAAAATTAAAGGAAGCTAGAAATACAATAATGTAGACAGGTAACGGGTCTGAACAAAGTGAATCCCTTCTCGACACTGCTCCAGAATCAAATCAAATACAGAGAAGCTCCTTTATAGTAAATAAGCTTAAAACATAGTTAAATAACCTCAATGAAAGTCCATCTTTGTATTAACAATAGAGTTAGAGTAACAACGAATAAACATAAAATCTCTTTCACTCAGGACAATAACAAATAACCTAAAACATTAGAGGTTTGGTCACAATCTAAATCAGTCATAAGTACTAAGTCCAACTACCTTCAAGAGTTAAACTTATATTCTATACAAGTTTGGCGATAATTCATATCCAAAACGGAAGCAATCAATCCAGCCAAAAATTTAACTTCAACCTAAGGCGAAGGTGAGCAAGTCAACTGCCATTTACATTCTGAAATCCATCACACAAACGGTGTTGTTGGAAAAACATGCTGCTATCTTATCGCCTTCCTTATTCCAGCAAACTTCAAAAATCCCACCTCCCCCGCTGTATGTCTTTAAAAGCTTCCCCTCTTTCACAGACCATATGTGCAGGCACTGATCTAATGATCCGCTTGCCAAATACTGTCCATTTGGGCTAAATGCCACAGAATATACAGGTTGCCTGCAATGGATAATTGTAATGTTAAGCAAGACGCATGATGGGAAACATAACCTAATAAAAGGGTAAATTACAAAAATCCCTGCAAGGTCTTGCATGAAAAACAGAAAACACCCTAAGGTTTCAGAAGTGACAATTTGACTCCCTGCATTTCAATTTCTACAAAATTAAATTGGAGGGTGAACTATGATCAATGATCAGACAACATGGCAATTACACGTATTTGTTGGAAACATGACATACAACGCAGCAGAAAAAACATATCATGACTATTAATCAAAATTAATTAAAATCTAGAATTATACCTGAAACGGTTTCCGAATTTCTACAATAATCTGATCCGATATCAATCTGAAAAAGCTTCATCAAGAGAAAAAACCTCCAATTGAAATCCACCCATCATCAAAGAGGACCAATATTGAGAGATAGGTTCTCAAATTTTTATTTCTTCATATTATCTTCATAAGATTTTCTGTCTCTTCATAAGACTACATATAAACTCTATTTATAGGAACAAACTAGTCTTAGAGATTTTAACTTTAAACAATTCATAATTATTTAGAACTCTATCCATAACAATTAAGGATAGAAATATATTTGTTCAGTAACTCTATCCATAACAATTAAGGATAGAAATAGATTTGTTCAGAAACTTTATCCATAACAATTAAGGATAGAAATAGATTTGTTCAAAAACTTTAGTCATAACAATTAAGGATAGAAATAGAATTTGTTCAAAAACTTTATCCATAACAATTAATGATAGAAATAGAATTGTATTGCATATTTGCATGTATACCTCTTTTAATGACATTAGTGAGACCAATTGGGTCCCATATAGAGAATCAATTATTAATCAAATTAATAATTTTAATTTAACAATCAAATCCTTATCCGACCAATTGTTCATAAAAACTCTTCCATAATATGAGTTTAATTATTAATAAATAATATCTTACATTCAGTTCCCTCCAGTATCATTTATTTTAGGCAACTCTTTTAAGAAAGACAACTCACCTATTTGCTCATGCCTAAATTACAATTCCCATGAACATAAATAAAAATCATTTTGAAACATCAAAATATTTTATTTTTATAAGAAAGTGAATTTAAAAAATATTTTCAAAACCACCTGCCGGCAGGAATTTAATAGCTTCATGGGAATGCATAATAAATTAACTCATCATAATGAACATATAGGATCCTATCTAGACATCCATCATTTTCCTAAATAAAATTTAGCAACCCAACGTTTCAGGTTGTGTAGCGCTTGCTAACCATCACATCAAAACATACTAAATTATCAAATTAAAAATAACAATATCATCAAGTCAAAGGGACTATGTAACAATTTGAATTCTCTATTTCTTAGGTGACTTGTCCTAGAGAATTCAAATACGGTCTAGTGCTACACAGATCATAATGTGTGCTTATGTCATACACCCAGAGAATTCTCATTCCCAGTGGTTGACTCACCACCACATCTCATATATCAGTGTCATGCATAATAACCTGTAATAACAAAGTTATTCTCTACTAGTTATAGGTTAAACACAAATTTAAGAAAGTTTCTAAGTTAGATCATATCTCCAAGCAAGTGACCATCACAGTGCATGATCTAACAAAATAACTTCTAAGGATATATAACAATTATATAAATAATACCCAAATTATATGTGCAACAATTAAATTTATTACCATTACAATATTATTACATAATTTGTATTGGATGTTCAAGGACAAATTATTATTATTATTCCAACAGTAAATATATACATGATTATTATATTAAAAGATTAGTGATCACATCCAAAAGAGATGATTTTGGTTTCTTTTTTTCTTTGTTGTTTTTTCTTTTTGTTGGTGGGGGAGGTGGGGGATGGGAGCTTTTAAGACCTTTGGTGGATTTTTTGTCATTCGCACAAACCATAGTTTTGTTTTGGTTTCTTTTGTTTTTGTAATTTACTCTAATAGGTAAATTTGCTGAAGATTATCACAGAGGTAGCATTTAGAGAGAATGAAAGGAGATGGTAACGAAGAGATGTTTAGCACACTTAGTGTTATCAGTGCCAATGAGTGCCAATGAGCAATGTGAGGTGCGAAGTCCCTCTGCACGCACATGCGCAAGGCGCAATGCAATGAGCGCGCCCAAGTGAAGTGAGACGCGCACCACACTTAATTTTTCAAGAAAGATAATCAAGCATGAACATGTATGTTCGCATAAAAAATACGTCAAGATAAATAATGTATACTAATAAGTTAGAAAATAAGGTCTTAATTTATAATGCTCCACATAGCAATAAAATTCATAATTTTCCAAATCAAAAGTCAAATCACGACTAATATCAAAGCAAAATAAAATAGTAAAACGAGAACGAGTTAGGGCCTGCAATTGTGCTGGTAAAATGGCCTAATGGCTTTATGTTCTTTTTGGGATATGGATTATCAGGTATAAATACCCAATTGAAAAGTTAAAGAACAAAAATATATGAGGATATGCGTTGCATGGCCCTGTGCGAAGCACCCCACACCGCAGGGCGCATGAGGCTTAGTGAGCTGCACACGCCTCTAATAACACTGAGCACACTTCAACATGATGTGCACCAAATAAAATATGCAATCAAAATGGTTTACAGACTTGGTTGTTCATTATTGTCCCTGAAATTAATGAGCTTTTTGCCTTCTTAAAGCTCTTCATTTTGATATTGCTAAACAAACGTCTAAACCTAGCAATAGCTAATTCGCCAGACGGAATTCACAAGGCTTTCCTAAATTGATGGGTGGTATATAAATTGTAAGTTCATAATGCTAACCGTTAAGCATAAAACGCATGCTTCTAACCCATAGATAACCCTCCGGGTGAAAATGGACACAGGATGGATTGGTTTATAATAACAGACACACATATGGATATTGAGACGGCTACGATTTGTTAAGGAAAACCTATAACCCCCATCCGCCAAACAATATATATCATGTCCATATCCATATCTTGTTGATACTCACATTTACAGATATACCATATCCATATCTGCTTGATACTCACATTCACGGATGTGAAGGATGACATGGTTCGATAAGGAAACTTCAACCCATATTCACCAAAATCAAATACGGATATGTATCGTATTAAGAGAACAAATTCAAAGCAGATATGAGGTAAAATAATTGAAAATATAGAGGCATGTGTAAAATAGTTGTTTAAATAAAACCAAATTTCTCCAAATTAGAGTTCATCAATATGTTGACATATCTAAAAAGCTACAGTTAGGTCTTCAGATCACAAAAATTGGTCTTCGATCCATTAATCTAAGGTCAAAACCGTTTCAAATATTAGATCTATACAGAAATTCAGACACATATCAGGATATTTTTATATATGTATCCTTATGAATGAAAAAAAATATCCATATCCATGTCCTAACAAATATATGTATTTAGTATCCATATCTGCATCCTATTGGTTAGGTAAGATCTTCAGGTCACCAAAATTGGTCTTAGATCCATTAATCTAAGGTCAAAACAGTTTTAACTATTAGATCTATACAGAAATTCAGACATGGATCCGGATATTTTAATTATATATGTATCATTACGAATAAAAATAATATGTCCATATTCATACCCTACTAAATATATGTAGTTGGTATCCCATATCTGTGTCCTATTGGTTACAGATGTATCCACTGTTATCTATATCCTTTTACATCCCAGACCTTCCGCATAGAATTTTGAAAAGCCATCCCTCATCCAGATCAACCACCACTCATCTACATCCTCATCCAAATCAACCACCACTTATCTACATAGATGAAAAAGAAAGGTAAGCAGTAACTCCAAACACAAGTACTTCCCTTGTGTGCAACAGGTAAGATTTCTGAGCATGCTCTAGTAACTTGACAGTACCTTATTGACAGTGGTGGAGCCAGGAATTTCAGCAGTGGTTTCAAAATTTTAATAATTAACAATAATGTGTATTTTCCCCTCATGATTGATTTGTATCTAAAAAACAATACAGAACAAGACTTTCAAAATAAAATCTTAAATTAGAATATAGCGCATACAATAACATTCATCTTGCCTTCATTTCTTAAACCAATTTAATGACTTCAGATATGATAGTTGATCAGATTGAGCTATCTAAATTCTTTAGGATGGAGCTATCTTTAGATTTTGAATTGGAGTAGGATTAGATCATGATTTGGGTTTTGAGTTCTATTTATGAATATTATAGAGTTTTTTGCGGAGATACGATTGAAAGATCAAATTGTAAGACCCTTAGGATTCGAGGGACGTATGACAAATTTCAAAGGTTTGATGGACTAATATGAATTGAAGATTTGAGGGGCTAACAACTAAATTACATAAATAAATAAATAACTTCCCAAGTTTTTCAAAAAACCTGACTTGTTTTTTACTCCCTTCCATTTACAAAACACCAAATATCATTGTCCAAAACACCTAGCCCAAGAAGACAGGGAGGTCAACCCAAAAAGAAGGCACTATTCATCTTCTTCTTTCTTTAAACCGAAACACAGATAACCTAAACTCCCCTTCGATTGGGGGCAGAAACAAAAATGAAAAGAAAAAGAAACTGAGTTCCTGTTCTGCTGTTCATCCCTTCATCAAACAGAGAGCTTTAAGAAAGTGATGTCTAAATTAAGATTTATGACGTTACAAACCAACTACCCCCCTTGAGTTTTTGTAGTTTTAAAGGTAGGGGCGTAGGGCTAAGGCCCCTTTGGCCCACATGTGCCCCCAACGTTGCTTGTTGAAGTTGTGTAGAACAAGAAAAAGTACAAAACAAAGCATTAGCCACACAGACACAAGACAAAAGATAGTAATAAAGTAATGGATAGCAACAATGACATCAAGCTACATTAATAATAGTACTTGTTGAAATAGTGTAGAACAAGGCAAATTACAAAGCAAAGCATTATTCACACAGACACAAGACAAAAAATAGTAATAAAGTAATGGATAGCAACATTGATGACAAACAATAATATTAAAACGGTGTTGACTGTTGAGCAAGCTGAAGGTGCAAAACTGGTGTTATCCACATACATAAAAAGGAAGTAAAAAAAGAAAATGCAACTAACAATGTTACACAACTACATACCTTGTGTAAAAAGGATAAAATCACACACAGTATTTTAAGCATTCTTTACCAAAAAAAAAAAAGATCAAGTAGATGTAACCATAAAAAACTTTTATTCTAGCAATAATTCATGTCATATTTGGCATTTTAAGCTTTCCTATCAAGTTACAAGCCCTTGGATTATTGTCTATTAATATATTTCCAACCACTTAAAATGAACCATTTTTTACTGGCTTATGATGGGCAGTCTAAAGGAAAATATGCACATCAAAAGGCTAGAATGCTTCATTCGCCTTATACACACGCATCAATTTGTCCCTCATTTTGAACTCAAGGTTCATGTTTGCCAGTGCCTCACTATGCAGCATGGGTTACTTCTATCAGAAGCTGTACTTGTACCCTACCTGATATTCCAACGCCCACACCTGACAACAACACTTCCTCAGATATGTGCAAACACTAATTCTTACATGTTCTCAATTATATAATGATTTTAATTTTAAAACACATTCATACACTTCTGAACATATATCCTACAGTTCACATGCACTTCTTTATTTACATTGCGTATTTAAGATATGTTCTTATTTTCATTTATAAACAAAAGACTATGGTGGAAATGATATAAAATATTGACTTATATGAGACTAAGTTTAGATAATGCCTATTGTATAAAGTTGAAGATAAAAGTCATATTTTCCTTTTGTAAAGTCAAAAAAATATATGGTAGGTTAAAACATTAGCATACATATGCCACTATATGTTTTATATTATAAAAAAATAATAGTTTAGATTCTTAAATGCACAGACATGTCTTTGTATGCATGTACATAACTTTCTTTATTATTATAGTAATTATTATAATATTTCATATATTCTACCATCATGCTGTCACGTCGTCATGTTGCCGTGTCATACTTTTTCAAGAATTTTCATGTCCTGTGACCATGTCCTGCTACTTAGGTGCTTCATAAGTGCATCTGGAGGCATTTTTCCTCATGAAAACAGTCACATATGCATATATTTGCTAAGCATACAAACAAATAGGCCGAGAGACATTTCGTTGCAAATAGCGGAACTACTCACATTTCAGACTGGACAAGAGGTCAAAGAATCATTTTACCAAGAAAAGCTTGCAATAGAAGTCGACAGGCTAAACAAAATTGTGCTAGTAGTGTTTTAATTACCTGTGACCATTTAAGCTGTATACAAGTCTTCCCAGCTCAACATCCCATAGTTTGATTGAAGAGTCAAAAGATGCACTGGAAGCATGCCAAAATAAAAATTAAATAACATTTGTTAGTATTGCTAGTAAATATCAAAAAGGGAATTTAAGAATACAACATTATTAGGTAATAGAAGGTTGTCTTTGAGCATTTTTATCAATTTGTTATCACATAATTATAACGTTAGCTCAAAATTATAAGATGGGCAACCAGAAAAATGAAACATTTACCTTGCCAATAGTAATTGCTGATTAGGGTTGTTTGTACCTGGTCCAGTGGGGCTCCATCTAATGGTATATATCTCCTGGTAGAAATTTCCGAAGAAAGAAAAAAAGAAGGATGCTTACCAAATCTGAAGAATTCAATGTAAGTGTCAAGTGAATTCAAACCTTTTGGTGCTCCTTGAAGTCGTGTACACATTTATCCTGCTTAAGGCTCCAGATCTGTTTTAAAAAAACTATGTATTAAGATTTGATGTGATGTAGTAGAAGATAGCATCCACTATTGACTAACTAATATGACAAATGTACAAATCCTAAACTGCGAAAATCCCAGGAAGATGAAGGTCTGCAATAATAGGAAATAACAGTGTACACAGCAATAATCATAACAAAGAAAGACCATAGACGAGCAAAAAACTAGTAGAAAGAAACGAAATTTTAGGGGACGCCATTGTAGATAGTGAAGCCAAAGTCAAGATAAATGTTCCACAGCGTGACTATTGTTCTCTAGGAAGAACAGGTGATGAGGACGCTCGTACTACAAGAAGATATGGAAAAATAAAATAGGTATATGAGTTGAGCTGAATAAGCATCAAGGAAAAATGATGCTGAATGAAGACAAGATGACAGATAAAGACTGTAGGAAAATTAACCACAAGTTCATGCAGAAGGCTCAATAAGGAAAACACAATTATATTTGTTCGAGGAGTTGAATACGTGGACAACAGGTGTTAAAAGAGTAAAAAAGCAACACGGTAAGGAAACTAATAAGAATGCTAACTAAGGAAGGATCCATAAGGGCTCTTCCAAGCAGTAGCGATAAGATCTGATGGTGAATTTGATATAATCACACTTTTGTGAACTTAAAAAGCAGCTATTGACGCTATTGAATGAACTAAAATAACCTACAACTGTTACTATGCAAACTTTTTAAGGCTGAGAACTCTGTTTTGAGAAAAACATTAGGAGCCAAAACAAAAGATAGTGTTTCCTATGTAATGATATTGGATATTATAAATGATGATGTACAGTTATTAAATTGTACTTCCAAATCTCACCTTCGCTGTCCAATCATCAGAGCATGAAGCCAGCAATGAACCAGTTGGATCCCATTTTATAGCATTAACCTCACCCTGAAATGACAAGCAGAAAAAGTGTCCAGTTGCTGCTCCAGGATTAAATGAATAATTTTCTGGTGGTCTACCAATATCTAGTGGCTGTCTAAGCATTTAAAATACAACGTTTTAACCTCTTTAATTTTCCATTACATGAAATAAGATACATTTTTCTCTGTTGAATTTTTATCTAACATCAATAACTTCAAAAATATTATTAGGACTCTAGCGAGATCCTCTTAATTTACTAGTAATGTGCAACTACTGCAACAAAATAAAACAAAGTACTCTATAGGCCATGGTGTGACCATGAATTTAAAACTCATGTTCTAGATAGATTCTCCACATAAGCATATAGCAGATTGGATTCACATTTAACATTTCACAAATCTATTGAGAGTGAATAACTCCCTCACACCCACCAAACAAAGAAAGCAGAAAGCAGACAAAAAATTAGCTGCTCCTCTTTAGCGGTAGCACAAATTTTGGACCTAGGACTCTAGCACAACCCCACCCCCATGGTATACAAACTACCCTGGCCTCCCTGGTCCCAATTAGAAATGAAGTCAATATGCCATCTGAAGAAAACAAACATTTGATCATATAAATACAAATTGAAATCGTAGAAAGACCATAATTTGAGCAGTAAATATTCCCATGGGCTTATATGGTTATCGTACTAATAAAAAAAAGATATTATGAGTTGCATTATTGGCAGGCCATCCATAGACAGATAGACTTAGTACATGAAAATTTTGTCAATGTTTCCCTGAATCCTTTAGCCAATATGTTGGGAAAGTAGGTTTAAATTCAGATTTAGAACACTAAGTCGATAAAGAAACAAATACATAAAAGGATTGTATAAGGACAACTTATTTATGAATACAAGAAATACACTTTCTGTGTGGTCCACAATGGCAATGATGTTATGTTACTCAAGTATTCTCTAAGCAGGCCAGTGCTAGGATCAATACTTCCTTCCTATTTCTCCTGGAGTACTTGGAATCTGAATTACGATTTTAAAGGGTCATGTCGGTGTCTAGTTAAAAAAATAAGCAGTTTTTCAATTTATAATCCACATAACAAAAGAAAAAGAAATATATTATAGGAATTTTAATTCTCATAACACGTGAATGAACAACAACATTTGATCTCATGTACATTATTAATTTCAATATTAATATATATGTGTGTATAATATTTATAAAGCCATGTCCCTGTACCTTACCTTTTATGAATTTGTCATGTCCTGTACCCTACATGTACAGGTACCCATTTCCATGCAACATAAGCGGAGACAGTAACTTCATAAGCTATCCCATTTATTTCAAAGCTGAAGATAAATTTATACGAAGGCTGAAGTTAATGACTATGAATTATATGGCATATAGATTATATACTTAAGGGAAAAAGACTGTTGGGGGTAGGAAACTTGGCCAGAACTCGACAAAATCTGGTTTTTGGTGGTCCTTAGGACTCACAGCCAACCCTATATGGATAAGCCAATACTGAACATTAATTGGTAACCGCTCATTGCTTACAAATTTGCCACAAATACATACATAACTAGGTCAGCTAATAATCACATGAGCACACAAAGCAATATCTTCTCTTGAGTATAAATCTTTTATGGGCAACTAGCTCCTTTTAAATTTGGGAACAAATTTATGTTTGCTGAAAGTTAGTAGCCTCATGCAGGATAATGCAGCTCAAGTTGGTTATTTGTTTTAGATAATTTTTAAAATTCACTTCCAAATATGCCTACTTTAAATAAACAGCATCAAAAGAAAATTGAACAAACATCAAATAAAGTTCAGACATTGCTGATCTAGTAGTTTCATACATAACTATGGATTTAACTAGCAGCAGACCACCAGCAATCTATTTCATTAATCTTCACTCAATTAAACAGATAATAGTCGTCATAGTTCATTGTTTCTAACCTGATGCCCTGCAAAAACTTTTAATGGGCGATTTTCCCCGATCTTGCAAACATATATCGTGCTGTCTGTCGAACATGTTGCAAAAGAGACATTGTTTCTCCAATCAACATCAAGTGTTGGCGCTGTCCAAAAAAATATATGCAGTCACAGTTCAGTGTTCCAGACTTCCAGTACTGTTAGAAAACAAATAAAGATAAACAGATGTAGTATTATGTTTTATAAAAATAAGGTACCAGAATGGAATTCAAACTGCTGCTTATACTCCCATGTCCTAGTATCCCACACGATAGCCGTTTTGTCAACACTGCCACTTAGGAGATAATCCCCCTTCTTGTTCCACTTCAAAGAGAATATTGGTCCTTTATGCTTGGTTAGAGTATTCTTGAGCTCCCCTGTTCAGCGCAATCAGACTGATGATTGGATGGAGAAAAAAAAGGTGTCTCGTAGTTTAAGAAATCATATTCACATATGCAGGTGACATAACTGTGAAAGAAAACTCCCTGCAACTGCTTTACATAAGTAAACATACAACTACGAAACAAGCATGCTAGTAATACATGATGCCTATCAGTAAAGATCGGAAAATTGTCCATTTGAATCTCAGGATCCAGTTTTCTAGAGAACTGTTTGCAGAGAACCCTAAAAGTTTCAGGAAATGCCCACTCGAATCGTATTTAGAGACCCAATTGCAAATTATAGTCGCACTGCAGGAGTGTAAGACTTAACAAAGCTCCCATGCAAGTCATTACACAAACCAGTGGAGAAAACAAGCACCCTTTTGTGCAAGGACAACACATGCGCAAATAGAGTACATTAAAGTATGCACATATCCAAATTTCTTGTCCCAAACCATTTCTAAGAGATTTCCAAATTTTCAAGAACTTCCCAAATCCAAGTTTGTGAAGTATGGCTTGTCACTTAAGCATACTGTTCCTGTCTTCCGGAACACATAACTTGCCCCATGGTAGTGAAGTATGACTATACAAGTAATCCATGGCCTTTAACTTAAATAAATAGACCAAAACCAATACAATTTACACAAACCGGTAAATGTTCTCCATGTTACGTTAAATCAAGCTAAAAACCCTCAGACCACAGGGTTCTGGAAATAGTCCACGGAAACCTCAGTCTGGAGCAAGCCAAAAATCGGCTCAATGCTTGATCTTGATACAACTTCTAGTCATATTCAGATTGGGGAAAAGGAAAATTCCAGATGCTAGAAAACTCAATTCAAACAAATATCACAGGATTCAGAACTAGCTTGCATACCTACATCACAATAACAAAGCCAAAAGTTCGACATGCCAACTCCATTTGTTTTAATATTTCAAATGCATACATCAACTATTGTCAAAGACTCAAAGTTACATTTTCTGAAAGGGTTCTTCACAGAAACCACCTTTAAAATAGGGCGACAATATGAAAGGCGACAACATGAAAACCATCTTTAAAGTTCAATTAAAACAAAAACCACCTTTAAAGGGGTTCTGATAGCAATCAACCACATTGACCAACTTCAAGGTCAAATTTGAAATCCCCAAAATTACGTTGCGAAGAAGAAATATTATTGATTCTTGTCTATGGCCCATACTAACCCAATATTGACCATGTTTCTTTGTGTTTCATCTACAAATTCAATCAAAATTTCACCAAAAAATAGGTCAAGGCAATTGCTTGCTACCATAATCTCTCTAAAGGTGGTTTCTGTATTAATTGCATTTATACTTGTTTTTTGTATTGTCACCCTATTTTAAAGGTTGTTTTCCCGCCCGCAGGGGGGACCTTTTCTGAACTCTACTTTTTTCATCAAATCAGAAGCTTTTTTCCATTCGATTTTACAAATATTTACTTATCTTTCTGTACTTTTAAGAATGTAAAAGAAGAACAACAAAATTTCAAGATCTTGGGGTTCTAAACATACTACAAGCATTATAAGAATGGTAATCATATGTGCATGCAATTATCAACTAAAGTTGTGACTCCTTCCCAGCTTGAGATGCAGTTAAGTTATGGAAACATGTTCCTGCATGTACTAAAATTTGGAATCACCTCTAGTCATTACTATTACCATGCAGCAGAATGTTGTCAGACCCCACCAGAAAATTTTAGATATCTCAAGAGCACTGGAAGGTTTCTGCATATCTTCCTTAAGATTGGCTATCATGATTTAGTGGCTGAAGAGAGCTTATGTTGTGCTGCACAATCCGAATGAAAGGATGCACGCATAAGACAGAAGCAATCTACCAAACAAGATATACTCGAAATCTTCAAACAGTAGCATAAGAAATACCATCTCAATCAAGAACAGCAAAGAATTAACACATCCATTATTGAAATTATGACTAGCAAAGGAATCAGTATTGCTACTCAAGGGCTAAATGATAGGCCATAATAAGGTGCAACCTCATATGCAAGATACGAAGCCTTATTTATTGCATCAACATGCCAACAAAATATAATGGAGATAAAACTGAGAAACATAGACAGGAAAAAACCATCCATGATAAGTATCAAGGACACTCATTTCAAAATGCTTACCATCCTTGCTCCATATTCTAGCCTGGCCATCATAAGAACCTGTTGCTAGTAGTGACCCTTCCCCCTGTAAATGGAACATGAATATGTAATGAAGGCCCAAAGCCTAATGGAAGATATATAATTGATAAAGAGAAACTCATTACATTCCAATCAAGTGTTGTTACATCCTTGCTCTTCTCAAGTCTTCCCTTGAAATGTTTTAAAACCTGTACGCGAGGAGGAAGATTTTGCATGCTAGAACCACAAGGGCCATCTGGAATGGTCCAAATTCGAGCTGTTGAGTCCCCAGACCTAATAAAAAAGACTTGATCAAGACATATGAAAACATTTCAAGGGAATGTGACAAAGGTTTACCACCCTGCATGAAACAAATAAAAGAAGTTTATGTCAACAAAAGAACTATAAAGGGCAGTTCGGTGCACAAAGCTCCCGCTAAGCACGGGTACAAGAAGGGGTCAGATCACTTCGGATCGATAAAAGAATATAAACGGCCAAATTAAAGAAACAATGAATTAGAAACCTACAAAAGAGTTCCCTAAAATATTCATTAAAATACACAAACGCACGACGATGTTAGGCCACAAGTCGGAAGTTTGTTATTTACTGCCTTCGAGACCCAGAGCTTTCATGGGTCAATTGCAAGAGACCTGCATTACTAAAAGGTAATTCAAACAGAAAACAAACATGAAGGCATTGAGGTGACCTTGGCAAAAATAATGCCTCTAATTCCGAAAAATATACACTCTCAAACATTTCTCTATGGGCAGAGAGTAAGTTGAGATGAAAAATTAGTAAAAATATACATGTATACTTACCCAGATGCTAGTAGTGAACCAGTTGGGCTCCATGCACAAGCAAAGACCTAAAGGAGTGAGACAATACAAAAAGGCATCTTAGGGGGTGGAAACACTTTAGGATGCAAGGACAAAAAAAGAGGGAAGATGAAAGTACAAACCTCAGAACTATGTCCTTCCAGAACAGTCACATCAGAGATAGAAATTGCACAGGCTACAGATGGAGCACTGGGGGTGATATCCATTGGTTCTGGCCCTATTAAATGCTTGAACAGTATTATGTCTAAGTAATTTAAATTAAAGCATAAAAACACACTGATATATAGTAAATAATAAAAGCATTAGAATAATATTGCAGAGATAAAGCAATAAGTGACAGCTCAGAGCAATTAGACAACGATATTACAAAGATAATTGGTCAATAAAACAGGAAGATTTCTTAAGATATTAAATAAAAATAGAATTCAGCTCCTCCTGGAGAACCTTTGAGAGATAAAACTTGCATTAAAGTCTCAAGGATGATGCACAGTTACTGAGAAATTAGTGACTCTAGACAGGTTTCATAGAAAAGTGAGGTGTTACTCATCCCAAAGATGTTCTGTGCACAACATATTGGTTACATCCTGCAGAATTTAGCATCCCCTATAATGGAATGACGCAGGATGGTTCAGCATTTGATAGGGCTTCCCATTTCAGAAGAAAAGTAACAGCAGGTAAGTACACTCCTTTTCCAGATACTCAATACATGCTCCCGTGATTTGATGAATGAGATCCATATGAGTCTATAAATGAGGAGCCAGCAGCACTTATTTTAGTTTAATCATTCAGGTTTACTAAGAAGACAAAACTGAAGAAGAGGAAAGAAGTCGTTGAAAAAATATACTAGAACTAGTAGATGCACATGATCTTGGCCCATCTTTATTATAACTTTTCTTGCAAGGAAAGATGAATATATAAGGGCTCAATATTGCTGATCTGGAACATACCTCATGCTAAAATTCAGTTCACTGATAACATTAGCTAGTTATCTCACAATGTCTTCTGCACATGGGAAAAGCCAAGAATAACAGTGTCTGGTCCTCCTTTGGTGACCTTGACAATAAAATTGATGAACTAACTTCTAGTATGGAAAATTATATTATATAATCAGGTCGTATTCTTGTTCATTTCTTCCCCTTCTTCACCTTTATCAATCTGACAATTCAAGTATCTGGAGGAAAAACAATTAATGTTCCAATCAAATTGGAAGGTTATGTTGTGCTAACTATGACCTAACCAAATCCAAGCAATTTATAAATAAGATAAATGGATCAAGTCTACATTACATGAGCATAATCAGGTCAGACCGGGTTCTGGCCACTGGATTTTTATTTATTGAATGGATTAGTTCCAATCGAGCATAATCTGGTTCTATGTTGAAACACATTTTCCACCTCCAAACATAGAGAAGACAAAAGGAGATGTATGCAAATAGCCTAAGCCGCTGAGCAACATAAAGGGTGTCGACCAAGACTAGCCACTAATACCCGATATAGGCAGGAGAAAACACCAGGCAATTAAAAGTGACAAGAGAAATAAAGTCTATTTTTTTCAACAGGAAATCCATATATGACAGGAAGTCGCAAAAGGCATATGCCTGAATCCAATTTAGAACAGAAGATTGTCCAACACATACCTAGAAGGTGATGGTGTTACAAAAGATATTACACACACCGTAGCGACATAAATCGAAATTGTTTTAATATGCCACCAGTTGCTCCAATATATAAAAGCTTATAGGAATTTAACAGATTTAAAAAAATCAAAACGTACTTGGACACGTATAAAAAAGAGAGGATCAGTTAAATACAACAAATTTTGAAATCAATGCAAAATATGCATGGATTGCAACCAGCTATGGTTCTTTCACACATTTAAAACTATTCATAAAAATCTTATTGGCTAGAAGATATATCAAAAGCCCAGCTGGTGTCTTCAAACGACATAGTTCAACAAAGTAGTAAGGTTACTACATTTCTGCATACTGGACATAGTTTTGAAAAGTGTAGAAGATCTCACGATGATGCAGTACAATAATAATATTTTGAGTAGAGCAGAAGGTTTCATATTGATACACTTATTGACTTATGTCAGCAATTAAAGAAGAAATTACCAAACAAATAAAGTCTTATTTTACCTGCAATAACACCATTTTGATTGATTTTGACCTTCACCTTATCTTCACACTCTTCAACAATATCCATATTTTTGTGCTCCTCAGGTTGCTTATCCTTTTCACGTTCTCTTTCTAGTTCTTTATCCTTTTCTACCTTTTCTTTCTCCCTATCCCGGTCTTTATCTCTTTCTTGTCTTTCTCTCTCCCTTTCACGTCCAAGATCTTTTTCGGCATCTTGTTCTTTCTGAAGTTTAGCCTTCTTTTCTTTTATGATTCTTTGTAATTCATCCACATCTTTTGTAATAATATCCAGAGGTTGTAAAAGTGAAAAATCATCTTCATATGCAGGATTACCCTGGCATTGGCAATATAAAAAAAACAATAAATAAGCACATAATAGACTAAGTTTGCAATGCATTATGCATAAGTCTTCTGAAAAAGCATCAAACACCCAGCAGTATTTCCCATCAAAACATGGTTCAGCAATGACGTACAGATTTCCATATCAGCAATTGACTTAACTTAGAAAGAACCTCATAGCAAGGTTTTAAATGTCGGTTATCGGGGATTTATCGGACGGTCAAAATCCTTATCGGATAGCGAAAATCGGGAATATATCGGGGATAAGTAGTATTTATCGGAGTAATATACTAGCAAATAATAAACAAACATAAGCTTAAAAAAATATAATGTTAGTCAAAATGGAATAATAAACAAGCAAATAATAAGATAACATTAAGAATGAAGAATCATCTACGCATCTACATAATTATTGTTTAATCATGAGATTCATAAACTAATTTACTAAGTTGATATTTAGTAGTTATGAGTCATTATCAATATCCATAAACAAACATAAGCTTAACACCAATCAACCAAGTTCCAAAAGCAACAAATAGTTCATAATTTGTAAACATTCAAAGAGCAAATCCAAAAGAAAGTAAAAGCTCCCAATCCTACTTATCGACCGATAAAGCCGATATTTAGAGCCTACTTATCGGCCGATAAATACCTTTATCGCTGATAACTCGCCGATAAATCTCAAAAAAGGATAACCGATTAAAAATCATACTTATCCTAACGGAAAGCTCCCAAATCCGAAAACTCGGCGATAATATTGGATTATCGGCCAATATTTAAAACCATGCCTCATAGTAATGAATCTAATAATTCATAGTAATGAATATAATAATACATAGGCACTTCTATACCAATTAGCTTAGATATTTATTCACAGTAATGGTACATAAACACTTACACCTTCCAAGTTCGCTTCCAACTCAATGTACTGAACACCTTTCTGAACAAAAGTAACAAGAGCCCCTGGTGGAATTAAATTTCCATCTATAGGAGATCTGTTAATTCCCGCCTCATATCCTAAAGCAAATGCTGCATGTGTAAAACCTGAAAGAAGTAAATGGTAAAACATTAGCAACTAATTGCAGTATAAAGCCTACTTCATAAAGAAAATACCCCAGTGAATTATAAAAATGAAATATTACAACTCCTCGTCCAGTTTTGTGCTAAACCAATTTTTTTGGCAAACTATACAAAACTAGGCCAGGACCAATCCTCGTCCAGTTTTGTTCTAAACCAGTTTTCTTTTGCGCAAAAGAAAACTGGTTTAGAGACCAGATTTTGGCCAATGAAAACAAGGCCAGATCTGGCCCTCTTGTTTGTCAAACAAAAATCTTTCAAAACTGGGCCAAGTTTGAACTTGGCTCAGTTTTGAAAGATTGCTAAACACACCCTATATTGAGCAGAGTATCATGGGCACCGGATACATAGAAACATTTCATTAATACTCTCAATACATTATTTATCACCAATTTCAACACATCATAGGTCATCCCACATACAGAGAACCAAGATAGTGTCAGCCTGAAAAATTTGCTATACAGTTCTGAAGTAGCTCAAATTATACATCCAATTTAAAGGATACTCTTTCTAGATGTCATACATCTACTTACATCACATATTTACAGCTCACAATATCCTGATAAGGCAAAAAAAAACAATACAAAAAACTTCAAAGGTCACGGTACCAAATCCATTTATAGAAGCTAAAATGGACAATTTGCCTACAGAGTAAGACTGCAGCTAGAAACAAGCAAAATATGTTACTGTGCTCTCATTAGGTTCAACAGGCATTTATTTCCCAGTTCTGTCCTATTTGAACATGCTTTAGGCCACTATTGAAGAATTTTTGTCAAACCTTTAAAAAAATGCAAAATAATTAGTAGCCAAGTTTTTTGAAACTAATCTTTCAACACAGTTTGAAAGCCTGGTACTGGAACGCCGGTCTTCTTCACTTGCATCCCTGCTATCTCCCTTCCCCTATGGCTGTTTAAGTGCTTTTGGAATTTTTTAAGGAACTTCACATTCCAGTTTCAATGGTTATTTTGATTAATAAACAGACCTTTCCAAAACTACAAATAATCTACAATTCTCATCTACTCTTACAATTAGATAAAATTTTGACTTTTTGTATAATTATTTACAAAATTTGGGAATGGATGCCTAAATGAATTTAAAATATCACAGTTATATGTAGTTTTATAATTTGTGACTGGAATATTTAATAAATCATTTTCTTATCAAATAATAAATAAAAAATTAACCAAGAAAATGGGACTAGGTGACACACCTAAAGCAAAGGCACTTCAGACCATTTGGTCAGATATATAAATGGACAAATACATATCAAGGGACAAGGGTAGAGTGGAACTTAGAAAGGGAGGGAGGGAGAGAGTATTTGTTCATTTATACGTATTTATTCCAAACTATCCTCTGTCGCAAGTAAAAAATAATAATAAGTTTGAACCCACTGCTTGGAACCAAAGATAGAAGCTACTTGCTTAATTAATTCCAATGAGTTTTGCACTAATTTTTCTTAAACCTAGTAAATTTGAATTATGAAATAGGACTTTGTCCTTAAAGACTGCTATGATGCTCTTAAAGGGTGAAACAATTTTTCCGTGATCTAGAGGGTCAAAACAATCGAATGAATACAAATTTCTCTGAAGTTTATACCAAGCAAACGTGTCAATATCATACATATGAGATTATATTTTACAATTAGATATATATCTTACAATTCAATATGCAATGCAAAGAAATTGATATATACCTTCATTTATATATCAGGTCAATGTATATTAGCTAACAATTAAAAGTACCTAGCAATACAATTCAAAATTTACAAATGTGATAAGTTGTTGTTAGTTGATTCAACATGTAAATGGATTTCAATCTCAACTAAAATGACCTTTCTAGTTTAATAGCAGGTCGCAATTTTAGTAGAAAAGAACATCCTAGCCCATGATGATCTGATTCGCCTATTGTAACAATAATGACCCGCAGGGAGAGAAGACCTTTGCATAATACTAATCATGGCTCTTTGAACGTAAAAGTGGACCAGCACTTAATGAAACAACATAAAAGGAAGAGGTATAGATATTAATTTTGGAAATTGTTAATTTCCAATTTCAAGTATTTCATAAGCAAATTTTAATGATAATTCCATTTACTAATAATATATTTTTTAAACGTGAATGGCATTAGTGAAAAGAAGAATAGAAAAAGAGGATAGTTGAGCTAAAAGTGAAAAAGGAGAATATGAAAAGGAATAAAATGAAGATACCATTTCTGGTGATGCTGATATTGATGAATCAATCATGCTGATATTGATGAATCAATCAGGGATAGTTATTGATATTGGATTGGTTTGTTTTCTCATTTCGCATGGAGGTTATAAACATAGTAATGAGGACAAGAAATGACAATATTTGATTAGTTGATATATTTTTGAATTTTGAATTTTAAATTTTAAAATTTGAAATTTAAATTTTGAATTTTGAATTTTGAAATTTAGTTTAATTTTAGTTGAGTGATTTGAGGGATTGTTGTTTGTTTCTATTTTTATTGCACGTTGTGTGCACGTAGTTTTTTTATAAATAAGGTTGAATGAATTATTGAAAATTAAAATGAAATTTGAGTTGGCTTAATTTGGGTGTGAAACCTAGGCCTCGGGTGTGAAACCCTAGGCCAATACATGTTCCTCTTCTTCTAGCTGTCAAACCTTTATCTTCTCCGGTTCATCTGTTCATCTCACAACCTCGCTGCCCCCACCCCTTCTCTTCCACAAGCTACCGATCTATCCCTGCTCTCCTTACCTTCGAGCAGACGTCGTTCCCGCCTCCATAAGCCGTTAGAATCACCTCAACAGTCGTTGATTTCCCTCCGTCCTCCACTCTTAGAGCCGTCATTTATTTCGTCTTGACGTCGTTGCCAGCCTCGTCCCGACGCCCGCCACCTGCATCGACCCGATGACCTGTGGGACATCGCACCACCCTCATCTCGTCGCCGCGTCGTCATCAGTTCAACACCGTCGCACTCGTCGTCATCGGATCTCTGCCTCATCATCGTCGTTCAGTTCACCGTTGTCGTCACACCACCTCCAGAGTTCTCTCACGTCGGGTTTGTTCAGACCGACGAAGGTTTCGTTTTCTTTTGTTCCTCTTTATTTTTCTGTCAATCTCATTTTGTTAGTTAATTGCATGAATATATTACCTCTAAACTCTTATCATATATTCACTGCTTAAAGTATAATTGTGAGTTAGAGAGTAACTGAACATGTGATTGTTAAAACTTGATATTGATTGTAAAACTTGTGCAATGATAATGAATATTGCAATTAAATTGATCGAGATTGAAATTGTTCATAATTGTCGATGCAAATCTTATTAAAATTCATCTGTCACATTAGTTGTTTTTAAATTAATTTCCTACCGAATATTATGAATTTTGCCGAAACGGTGCGTTGTTTAAATTAGATCGCTGATTCCGATAGACCCTCTCCCCCGTTGCGCATCACATAGTTTAGCAAATTGACATCCTTATTTGGTATTTTTCCAATCCTCGATACTCAACATAGAAATTATGATAATTAGGCCTCTTATGATGCTACAATAATAAATAAATAAAAACTACCTTTTAGGCTTTCAAGAGAAACTATCTCATGGGGACTCCAAATTAAATCTGTCACATTATCTTGCATTCATAGAGCAAGAAATAAAATGAAATTGTGAAGGGGTCGTTACCAAATCAGAGCCTGAGAGGAAACTCATGTGTTTCATTCAAGATGTTGGAAAATAGCTCCTACAATGATGATAACAATAATGTATGCTAGTAATTTCTTTAACCCATTACACGACATTGGGCATGGTATGCTAACCCTACATGCATTAAAGGTCAAAGACATGTGATGAACCACATTTCTAAACCATGTTACTCCAAAAGTGGTCACTGGAGATCATTATTCTGAGATTTTCAAGAGTTTCCAACTGCTTCTTCCATATCCTCTTCATCGGTCAAGCTTCCTCCTCGTGATATTCTTCCTTTTTGTGTCATTGAACCGGTTTTGACAGTTGAAAAGTTACTCTCATGTCGAAAAATATCGGATGGCTAAAATCCATATCGGATTGCGAATATAAGGAAAATACCAAGGATAAGCAGTAAATACAGGAGCGCCAAGTAGGATGATGTGCACATATAATATAGTGTCTTAAAATGTAATTTAGACACACTCAATGAAATCTAAATAAAATTAAAGTAACTAATTGTTGAAACTTACTCAAGGAAAAGAACTTGCTAGAATTCTGCTAAAAAATTTCAGAAGGATGGAACTTTTGCTAAAAACATTGAAGAAATTTAGCGTAACTATTTTGTTTTGCAACAAGCAATATAAAAACGATATATTGTCCAACATCACTCACTCATATATCAGCCATGTCCGGAATATCACCATATATTGCTAAAAAGTGGTAAAAGACACCATATTGTTTTGAGGCAAGCCTTTTAAAATGATATATCAACTAATATATTGGCTATATTAGGATATTTAAAACCGTGATTACTCTAACCTTTCAAATTCAATAATGCATGCTGACATATGTTTTATGCTCTAGCATCTAAGTTTCAACCACCTCTAATAACATAGATCATGAATTCTTATGATTTTCATATGAAATTTCATTCTCTTCTCAATTTTACCGAATCTTTATTTGCAATCCTTAATGAACACAAACCCATTTTCTACACCAAAACCTAATTTCTAATCCCATATGAACTACATCCATAGACATGCTAGATCCAATACTAACCCTTACTAATTATTATTTCATCATTCACTACTTTCCATTTTTCATCAAAAGCAAACATGAAACTTCTATTTCACATAATCACATTTAATTCCTCAATCATAGCCTGAGCTAGTAAAACCTAAAGGACAATGTGCCACCTTCTTAATCTCACCTAGATTTCCAAACCATGTCATTAAACAAAGATATTATTTTCAAGGAGGAGCTTTATACCCCTCAGAAATAATCTCAAGAGCCTTGACACCTCTTATTAACTTCTAGAGGGGTATATATTGTCATATTCTAAAACCACCATTTCCTTGTCTCATATGAGATACCTTATAATGCTTTTAACTTGTTAACTGCCAAATGTTGTGCTACTAGCCATACTAGAATCAAGGGAGTTTTTAACTTTGTTGAAATCGTGGTGTCGTCTTTATTTTGTGCTACACTTTGCTCATTAATTAACAAGGATCTCATTTACTAGACCACAATTATCTCTCACTCGAATGCATAATATATTTACTTTTTGGGCTTAATATTGAGAATTTATCTATTATTATCTGGAAGGTAGATTGCAATGGTATATTCTTATTTATCTATTTTACTAGGTTTAAGATGGGTTCAAAATTTTAGGCCTTGAGAAAGAAAAGGTTGCATTTGTGATGGGCTAGAATTTAAGGTAACCTTCACGTTTTAGGTCGCTTAAGTGTACACCCCAAAAAGATAGTTAAGCAGTACATACCCAGACTAAGATTGAAGAAGCATGTGCTGCTGATACAAGATAGCTGGTTTTGAAAATCCGAGGACAGCAAAGCTTGTCACGGAGTCCGCATGTGGGTTCATGATGATGAAGCCTACTCATTCTAGTAAAACTTCACAACTTTTCTATGCTACACTTTAATTTCAAGAGAATCTAGATTATAGAATAACCCGAAATTGAAATTAGTTAACCCACAAAAAAAGGCCAGATATTCGGCCAAATGATGGCCGTCCGATTTCAAATACCATAAATTTCAAGAATTATAAAATGGCAAATAAATTAAGAGCAGCCAAAGCTCTAATCTTTCTCCTCAACTCCTAGTTAGGGTTTAGGGAGACCATACAGAAACCCTGGTAGAGGCCCATATGACTACAAAAAGCCCTAAGAAATCGGGAAACCCTAGAAATGGAAAGAACAAAGTGATCTTTGGAGGAGAAAAAAAAAAAGGGACCTGATTCCTGGAGATAGCGGAAGACGAGGAAGTTGAGCTCTTCGGAGGTGATGGTCGAGGACGTCGTCATTGGACCCTTCGCTCAAAAATCATGGCCCGAACAAAATTGATCCTTTTTGATTCCCTGCGCTAAAAGATCGCGGTGAAGAGGGCGTCTCTTTGTCTTTTTATTTTTGTTTTTATTATTTTTAATTTTTAATTTATTTATTTTCACATGAAAGCTCGCTCTCTATAAGTCCCCCCTTTCGAGATTTTTCGCCACTGGTTCCCGTCTGTTTCGGCCAAAATGTAAGTTTTAAGTTGCGGTCTACAAATCATGAAGACCAAACTTTAGGCCCATTAACCTCGTAACGAAGCCTTCCTAGTTTCTACAGAGCAATATGAAATAGGCCGAAAGTTTAAAGGCCTGATGATATTCGATAGTCTTCAAATGGGCCTAATTACACTTAAATACCCTCACTTCTTTTTTTTGGAAGCACTTATATATCCTGAAGTTTATAAAATTTTCTCTTATATATTCTCACTTGCTTGTCGCAACACTTATAAACCCTAAAGTTTTAAAACTTACACTTAAAAAAAGCCCTAAAATTTTTAAAAACTTCACCAAAATATCCAAAAGTTTTTAAAATTGCACTTAAATGCTCTCAAGTTTGAATATAAGGGCTACCAAAAATAAATGAGGGTATATACGTGCAAACTAGGGAAAACTACTTAAATGCAACTAAGTCCTTCACGACGAGTCCCCTCTCACTGCTTCGCTTACAAAGATAGAAGGAGAAGACTCCCTTCAAGTTGGGAGGACACGAGGAGAGAGAAAATAAATGACAAAAGTAAGCATCTTTCCTCTACCTCCCCTACAAGAAGACTTAAAAAGATATCATCTATCCACCTCATTGCACCTCCCTCCACTTTAAATTTCCTCCAAAAAAATCCCCTACCAAATCAAACCATTATCAAAGAAACATTTTCTTGTAGAGTTTCCATGACAAGCATCAAGTTGTTAAAAATCATAGATTAAAGGGAGTCAACACAAGAAAATAATAATAAATTAAAAGGATGCAGAAAATGTGTGGAATATCTCGCTTTTCCCTATTGCTTGTTTAGTGCTTCCTATCGCTTCAAATTTCAGATCAGTACTCATCAAACCATAAGCTTTACTTATAACTTTTCCTCTCTTTCCCCATAAATAATTCCTGATATAATAATATACTTGAGCAAGATTGTCACCTGAAAATTACATCAGGTTACATTGTCACCACTTTTAATGACTAGCATAAATTTGGTAGCATCTTAAGTCAAGAAAGGATATGAGAAGAAACACGTATGATCTCTCCTTTTTTTAATTGCTGCATACTGAATGATTAAAGGATTGGAAAAAGAAGATGATTGAGACAACCAAAAGCTTGGAGAACAAGAAGAGGAAGCGTTCAGAAGCCTATTGCAATATGTGTTCACATTCTTAAAGCCAACAAGTAGGTAATGATTATGCATTTACACCTCTCTCTCTCTCTCTCTCTCTCTCTCTCTCTCTAGTTGTAGTTCATCTCTCCGCACGTGTTTGGTTCAATTTCTATAAAAAATAGGAAAAGGAAAACACCCAAAAAGTAGATTTCCTTGTATTTCTATAAAAATTATAGGAAACTTATGAGAACTAAAAAATACAAGTTCTCTTGTTTCTTGTACTTTCTTTGTTTGGTTCAAAATAAGAAATTGAGCCCATTACTTTATAGAAATAGCAAGATTTCCTTTTATTTTATTTGGTTGAATATGAAAAATTTATAAAAAAGTGTCAAAAATCTTATTCACCACTTTACAATGGCTAGTTTGACAATGCTAAAATCTTATAAAATCCTTTAACTCAACTATCTATGAACACAAAACTTCCAAAGTTGAAAAACACGAGTAAGAATGTTAGAGACCTTGGTGAATGTTCGAGTGCATCAAATTCAAAGGTATGTATTTTGTTTGAAAAATACTACAAAATCTTTTACTATTTTCCTAATGACCAATTATTTGGTTTTTTCTTATTTGTAATCAGCATGATCGGAAACTTCCTTAGAAAAAACATGTGAGGAATTATTTTTATATACAGATGAAGATTGAGAGCGTGATGAGATGTGGGATATAATGGTAGAAGTAGAAATAATGCTAAGAGCCAATGCTTTGAAAGTTAGAGACCAAAATGGGTGGTGAAAGTGTCCATATTGCAACAATATTTCCTATACAAATTGGAACATGAACGATGTCTTAACTCATGCGTATGATGTTGGTTACAAAGGGACTATGCCCAACATGAGTGAGGAGGGGGTTGGCCAGCATTGTGGACTAGAAGTTTATTTACTTTGGTTAGATCGAAATCAATAATCCAAATTAACAACTTTGGCAATTTCATGTCCTAAATTGATATTTTCATGTATTAAGTTGGCTCAGCTATTGGTCTTTTATCAAAATTAATTACCTCAATTGAAGCTTACAAGTTCACGTAGATTGCGTTCTAATAATATACTAAAGAACGTCTTATCTTATTATGAACATTGTAAAATAGTTTGCAATCTTAAAAAGTTGACCATCACCATTTCCAAATGCTCAAATGCACTCAAAACGGAACAAAAAATCACAATTTACAGCTAACCAAACTCGAAGATAGCACCAATTCCTATACAAAAATAGAGCTAAACAAACTCAAACAATATAGAACTAAACAAGCTTGAAATCAGCATACACACCTAAAAAACAGCAAAATAGCTCAAACAGACCCGAAAACAGCACGATGTAGAGCTAAACAAGCCTGGAATCAGCGTACATAGATGAAAACAATAACATTAGCTCAAACAGAGCTGGAAACAGCACATAACAGAACTAAACAAGCTCGAAATCAGCGTACACCGCTCAAAAACAGTACTAGTAGCTCAAACAGAGCTAAAAACAGCATAAAATAGAGCTAAACAAGCTCAAAATCAGTGTACACCGCTCAAAAACAGCACCAACAATTCAAATAGAGCTAAAAAACAGCACAAATAGAGCTAAACAAGCTCGAAATCAGCGTACAGAGCTCACAAATAGCAACATCAACTTAATCAAAGCTCGATAATGAACCAAATCACTAAAACAACATAGAGCTAAACAAGCTCAAAATCAGAGTATAGAGCTCAAAAATAGCACCAGCAGCTTGAAATCAGCATTCCATCAACAAAAACAACAACAACATATCAAACAATCATGAATACTTATTAGGGCTCAGGATAGAAATAGATTTGTCATAAAAATTGCCTCGCCTATAAAATTATGATGCAATGTAGGCTCCTTTTTGAGGGATTGTCTCACACAAACCTTATAATATCAATGTATGTTGCATCCCACACAAAATTGCCTCACCTAAACATCACAAAATAATTATAGGCTGCATTCTCAGTTTATTATCCTCATCATTGCCCATTTAAATACACATGAATGAAAAGAGCCCATGTTAGAATTGAGTACCAACATAAGCCATCTATCATTAAGCTCACACCGAGCACTATCTCAATCTCAGCATAAATAGCCAACAAGAACAATTACCAACATGAATATAACCTGGATTGTTGACAATCTCCGGTGGAATCTTATTAGGTGCTTGCTTCATATATCGGTCGCGTAGACCATTCATAGCATATAGGACTTTATTAAAGTACCTACTAACTGTTTCGCCCGATCTTATGAATTCAGTCCTTATTACTCTATTTTCTGTTTTATGACCCACTATGCAAAGCAACATAGCGAGTTGTTCTTCAACTTGAAGGTGTCTTTGTCATTTAAAAAACCATTATTTCGTATTATATCCGCAAGTTTAAAAAAACATTAGGCCTCATTCTAATATAAGACCTACAACTATCACTATATCCTTAAAGACACGCTTGAAATAGGTATTTCTACAAAAAATTATCCTCATCTTATCCTCTCTTAGAGCATTACCAATTGATTTGCACCTAGCACGTATTCTCAATAAATAAGCTATTATTGTAACCATGGTAGATATAGTCATATTAGCATACATCCTCTTTATTTGTTCTTCATCTACACTATCCATCTACATTAATTACAACAACAAAAATAAAGTTTAAGATATTTATGCAATAATGAAGAATGACGCTAAAGGACAAATGGCTCCTTCCAATATATGTAAACAATATTAATAAATGATTCTATACAACATAGACATGCATATGATTGAATTCATGATGAGGATGTTTGCATATAAGACTATCTCCATCAGGAGTCGAAATTTTAACCTTCTCTCTCCTGCCACATCACTTTATTAAGTAAATAGAATAGGTGTAATCTATTTGTGATTATAGTAATCCAACAACAATTATTTTAATAATGCAAGAGGAAATATTATTTACCAACACCACAATAACATAAAGAACAACTATCCATATTGTTTAATAATGAACAGTTATATATAACACCAAAATAACAAATAACATAATGTAGATGATCGGTTAAAACAGCTTACTTATAAAATCATTATAATAAAACTCGAAAGCATTAGTTTGCAGTGTTAGGCTAGCATAATAAACTTAATATAACCAATAATTATTCACAAAAAATTGTAGAATCCAATGTACGTTGATTCGATAATAGATGTATGGTGGAGTTTTCAAACAAATCAAAGAAATCAAGTCATAATATCCTCATCCAACAATTAACAGACTAAAAAATTCCCCAAATCAATCACAAAGTCGAAGGCAAAAGCTCTAAAAATCGATCATAGATCAATATCATAAAATCGACCATCATCAAGCCATCATCAAGCCACCATAGTAGTATAATCAACCACAGATCAAGATCAAAAAATTGATCAGAACATTCAGATCTGAATCACTTCAGCACTCTTCCATCCCCCGCTCTTTGGCATCAATGACATGGCCATCCTTACGATCGCACGGTTCGTGATGTCATTGGTGCTAACCAGCTTCGTGTAGTTTTGTTTTATCTGACCCAAATAAATGTGTCGCCTGTCTACTTAGAAAATCATCACGCCTTCACCTACCTCAAACTGGTACCTAGAGCTCCTCTCCTCTAGACCTTGTCTTCTTTAATTGCTACAAAAATCATTTTCCTCTCTTTCTAGCACTTACTCACTCAACGACCTCAGCCCCTCCATTACTTTCTTGGAATCAAAGTCATACACACATCCATTGGTCTCCTACTCTCTCAACAAAAAATACATTACAGATTTGTTAGTCTGGACTCACATGATTGGCTCAAAATCCATCTCTACACTTATCACCATCATGTAACCTCACCAAAGATGGTAGCTCTATCCTTTTAGATCCACAGTTGTACCATCAAGTTATCGGCTCACTTCAATATATCCTTATCACCTGCCTAACCTCGCCTTCTCTGTTAATAAAGTTTGTCAATATATGGCTAATCCTACAGTTGACCATTGGCACGCTGTCAAACAGATTCTCCGATATCTCAAAGGCACTTCAACTCTCTCTTTGGCATTACTAAATCTCCCTCTGCACATCTCTAATCTTTCTTAGATGCCGACTAGGCTGGATGTTCCAATGATCATAAACCTTCAGGTGGATACACCGTTTTTGTGGGCTCAAATCTCATTTCTTGGTTAGCAAAGAAACAACACACTGTCTGTAGATTTTCAATAGAGTCTGAATAAAGGGCATTGGCTGACACAATGGCAGAGTTGATATGGTTGCATTCTCTTCCCCCAGAGTTGGGCTATCCATTGGAATGACTGCCAACTCTTTTGTGTGATAATGTCGGTGCCACTTACTTAATAGTGAACCTCATGTTCCTTGCTCGCACAAAGCACATTAAAATAGACTTTTGTTTTGTACAGGATCAGGTCGCAAAATGGCTGCTACAGGTCTCCTATATATCAACCAAGGATCAAGTAACTGACATCATGACAAAAGCTCTCCCAGGTCTGAGATTCCTTTTATTAAGAAGCAAGTTGAATCTACAAGATCATTCAACATGATGGGACGTGCTGTAACAGAGAGATTTTACTAAATCTCGTATATGTAACTCTCCGGTTAACTGTAATCTTCTTGATCCAATTCGTTGTAGCTTCTACTAGTTGCAACCTCGTTGACTGCATCCTTGATTTGGTGGATCTGAAAATGCACAATGTAACAAGAATCAGTATATAAATTCTAGTCTTAGCACCAATTCAAGATGTGAGGGATTCTGAATTCATTGTCTCTTGCGCAAAAAAATATGGCTCAGACTTGAATTGGAGATCCTCATAACATAATCTATACTTTATACATGTTGTAAACATAAACTGGAGATGTGCATATAGTAATACTATAGATACAAATAAGGACAACCTTTATATAGCTTATTTTTAAATTTTATTTCTTTTACCGTTCTCATTTTCTTGTGTGAATTGTTTTGCGTTTCATGAATGTGTCCAAAATGGTCCTTGATACATTTGCATGTATTTTCGTTTTTGCATGCAGGGCCGTACCTAGAAATTTTGGGGCCCAAGGCGAAATATTAGATGAGACCTAAGTGATACATCTCATAATAGATTTTATCTCATTCTTCTTACTTTTTGAGGTGCATATATAGGCTAACAATAATTGTCAAGTAAGAGGATCAGAAGGCTACAGAAATAAAAAAGAATAAATGATACTTTGAACTTTTTCAGAGTATCAGTATGATTCATAAATAAAACCGATGGAGAGGAAGGGTTGTTAACTAATACTACATCATAAACAAATAACATACAACATGGGGCTTTCTCTTGAATACGCCAAGTAAGTTTATCCACAACTAGTGCAAAGAGATAAGGACTTAAAGTTGATCCCTACTGGAAACCTGTGGTAATAGGCAACAGTTTTGTCTCCCCTTCATTCGTCCTCACTCTAGTCATTACTCTATCATACATATTTTTAATGTAATCACTATATGTACTAAATATATGTTTCTTTTCTAAAACCCACAACATTATCTCCCTAGTATTTTATCATAAGTTTTTTCTATATCAGTGAAAACCATATGTAGATCATTTCTCTTCTCCCTATATCTCTCTATTAACCTACTAATATACGAATAGTTTTCTTAGTTGTGACTTCCCACGTATAAAACTATAGTGGTTAGTAGATACAGTTATCTCCTTTCTTAGCCTATGCTCAATTATCCTCTCTCAAAGTTTCATAATATGACTCGTATGTTTGATGCCATGATAGTTTGAATAATTTTGATATATTATTTCTTTTATATATCCATACCAAAGTGCTACTCCTCCGCTCATCAATCATTTTCTTTAGTCTCAATAATCTTGTGAATAGTTTAGTCTATCGTCATAAGCTTATATCTCCAAAACATTTTCAAACTTTGACAAGAATATTGCCGGGTCCTACGTCTCTTCCAATTTTCATCTTCTTTAAAGCATCATTAACCTTATTAATCCTAATTTTCTCACAATATCTGCCATACTCCAAATCTCTACCTTCAACATCTGACAATTTATGGGAAAGCTACGCACTTCAACTGCCCCAAATGGGACTAACCACTTCAAAATTTCCAATTTTCAACTCAAGCAAAGAAATGAATAGCAGCAATAGTAAAATGAAACGTAACCATAGTTGGCTCACCTTTCGATCGAACTTCTTCCTCTCGATCACCCTATTCCCCAAACCTCCCCTCCCTCCTCATATCTAATCCTAAACCCCAAAATCTTCAAAAGCTCCACCCCGCCATTAACCTCGCTGACCGCCTCCTTTATCATCGGATTCCCCATCCTAATCCTCCTAAACTTCTCATTCCCAGGCTCCTTCGCAACATTACTCAACAGTCTCAACACGACATCCACCAAATCTTTTCATGGCTGATTCGACAAGTACAAACTAACTGACTCAGCCACTATGGAGGATTCGATGGGCGTTTCGGCGTTGGAATTTGCGGTGGTTAAGCAGAGATCGATATGATCTGATACCTCAGATTCCAATGAGAACGAAGAGGAGCAAATTGGGCAATTGAAGACTGCTGCGGAGGAGCCGGTGGTCGATCGATTACTGGTGGTAATCAGAGGATCGAATGGGTCGAATTCATTTGAGGGTTTAGGATTTGGCAAAGGGCTAGGTTTGGGATTAGGATTGGGTTTTGGGGAGGAATAAGGCGGGAATTGCTGAGATTGGAGGCGGAGGAAGAGGAGCCCAAGACGTGAGATTTCAAATTTGAGAATTGAGAAAGAGAGAGAGAGAGAGAGAAAGGGAGTCAAAGGCGGCTGGGGATTTGTGAGAGAGAGAGAGAGAGAGAGAGATCGGGTTAGGGTTTTGGGGGCTTAGTATGGTTGTGGGTGGATGATGGGCCTTGCCTAGGTTGAGGCCCAAGGCCAAGGCCTAAGCTACCTTATGCTAGGGCCGGCTCTATTTGCATGCTAAATACATATTATGTACAATATCTTTAGATCCATGTCAGCAAAATGAGAACGAAGAGGAGCAAATTGGGCAATTGAAGACTGCTGCGGAGGAGCCGGTGGTCGATCGATTACTGGTGGTAATCAGAGGATCGAATGGGTCGAATTCATTTGAGGGTTTAGGATTTGGCAAAGGGCTAGGTTTGGGATTAGGATTGGGTTTTGGGGAGGAATAAGGCGGGAATTGCTGAGATTGGAGGCGGAGGAAGAGGAGCCCAAGACGTGAGATTTCAAATTTGAGAATTGAGAAAGAGAGAGAGAGAGAGAGAAAGGGAGTCAAAGGCGGCTGGGGATTTGTGAGAGAGAGAGAGAGAGAGAGAGATCGGGTTAGGGTTTTGGGGGCTTAGTATGGTTGTGGGTGGATGATGGGCCTTGCCTAGGTTGAGGCCCAAGGCCAAGGCCTAAGCTACCTTATGCTAGGGCCGGCTCTATTTGCATGCTAAATACATATTATGTACAATATCTTTAGATCCATGTCAGCAACATTATTATTATTATCAACTTTTTAATCTCTCCTACAGAATACCTTGCTTTAGATCATAATGGAGTACGGTCAAAGGAGCGTGACGACAAGGAGATTGGTTACTATTTCACGATGGAAAGAATAGCCTAATTTCATAACCGTCAGTAGACTTGCTAACTGATCCGAGTTTTCTATGGCTATGAGAAGAGGTCAGTGTTGCTTTCCTTTCACTAGTAGAAAAACAAGCCACCTAGACGGAAAATTTCGTCTAGGTTGCTCTACTTCCTGTCTAGGTTACTCTACCTAGACAGATTTCCATCTAGTTTGTTCCATCTAGTCTGATTCCGTCTAGATTGTGGTAAACTAGATAAAATTTCGTCTAATTTGACTAACCTAAACGGATATCAACCTAGATGGAATTAAGAAATCCATCTAGATTGCTATAAAACCAACCTAGATAAAATTCCGTTTAGGTTGAACTATTCTAGACGGAAATTCCGTCTAAGTTGATATTTTTTTAGCAAAAAACTTATTTATAATTATCAATCCTCTGTACATTTATTTACCATTATATTATACACATGAATACATCCCCCCATCCACCCATCCAAATATAATCAAAATTCATAACAATTCTATCTATAACCAAATATAATCAAATCCAACACCATGCACAGATCCAACCATCTAATCCAAAATATACATCAACCAATTCTGTCCAATATATACATCCAACAACATATACACTAGCAATACATATGAATAAGATAGAGTACACGACATGAATAAAAGTAGAGTGTTATAACAAATAAAACTATTTATTTCATTAAAAATAAAAAACCTCAGCAATCGTCCGTGACGACAGCAACTCTATCCCGGTTACGAGAACGGGTGCTGCTCCCTCCAATATCTCCACTCTGGAGGTCTAATTGAATAATAATTATGTGATGTTTGATAACATATTAAACAAAAATGAATTTATAAATATAAGAAAAAAATAAAGTACCTGAGTGTTGCTCTGCCTAGCGCTGGAATTATTGCCAATCGAGCTTATGATCCGCATGATACCACTATACGCACTATGGAGAATTACACCACCTAAATATTGTATAACATACCCCATGAGAGCATCCATCGAGTTGGACATCATCGCAACTCTTCTCTTCTCATTAGTCACCTGAATATGCAGGTCTGGGTCAATCTTATCAAACAAATACACAGAGATACGTGCGACAAATGACATAGCCTAGAAACTACTTAGGGCTGCGCTCATTGTTGTAGGTGGTGTGGATGATCTCATGCTTATGTCGTGTGAAACCCCAACATCATGCAGATGATATATTACTCTCCTATTATTAAGGAGAAATAAATATTAGATTTTGCTCTCGAATTCAATAATGTTAAACAAGTAATAAATAGGAACGTATTATTCCTTGTTGATTCGACTTTTTACCATCCATACCTATTATGTCCCATCACGTTTTGAGTAAGAGTGATGTTATCCTTTGCAGAAAGCATGTGAGGGTCCGGCTCGCCTTGTTCTTCCTCCTGTGATATGTACACTACTGCAGTCTCCTTGGTTGCAGTCTCAAAACCGTCCTAAAGCACAAATATATAGTTAATTCAAGGTAAAGACCATATTATTTGTGTTGTCAATTTATCATAATATTAACAATGAAATAGAGTTAATAATACTAATCAACATATATATAAGTCTCACCACCAACTCAATATTTGCCTTGATCTTATCCCGATTCTTCTCCTCACTCCTATATTGATCATGGAAAGTACCATATGCCGATTTTTCCTTCAAGTGTATCAGCATTTTTGATTTTCCTTGTCATATTATAAATTTATGAGATTTCATAATCATACTAAGCATTAAGATCATTTAAAGCTTTAAATAACATATACCATACCCGAAAATAAACATCCTTAAGATTGGCATAGGAGTGTGTGCCCAAGTGGTGGTCATGCAGCTTCTTCCTTCTATTCTCTGACCCATTCGTTGGTTTATTCTTTAAAAAAAAATATATTTTAGTAAATATGCAATGAAATAACATCTTAAAATTATAAAGTAGTTTTCATGAAACTAACCTTGGCGGTATCACTGTCCCAATACATGAGGAAAGCTGTGAAATGAAGCTCATCAACTCGGTCATCGAGGTTTAAGACCTCTGCCAGTCCTCCTCATACCTGTCATAAGTTTCGTGTTTGATCTCATGCCTCTATTGTTTGAGGACTACTTCAACCTTGACATTAAACACATAATTTCAAGCCTCCTCAAAGTCCTCAAGGCAGAAGCATTCATGTAAATTTACATACACATTTAATTAGAATAATTTAATACCAATTACTACTTATTAGTAAATGAAAAGCTAAAGTAATATAAAGTTACCATAAGCTCATTCCATATCGCCTCGTATGCGGTTCATGGTAGTTCTCGAAAATAAAAATAAGGATTGATGATGTTCGCTCTACGCATGAGAACCCCAATATATGCATTTAATCTGGACGACCAAGGACCAACAGGCAAATTATAACTATTCCACTGAATAATGACCATCATTCCTCTTGGCGACTGTTTAGACTCAAGCTTACTTTCGCCACGTCGTCCCTCTATATGATCGACTTAGCACCTATAATAATAACAACATGATAATATATCATATAATATATAAATGTGAAAATTAAAAGTATTTATACAATTTACCATTCGCTATCTCTCTTTCTTTTGCTGCGAGTGCAACAGCTTTCCTAGTCTCCAACATAGGAAATTTACCATTCGCTATCTCTCTTTCTTTTGCTGCGAGTGCAACAGCTTTCCTAGTCTCCAACATAGGAATCATTTCCACCAACTTTCTCGTAGCACGTGGATGGTACTTCCTTGAGTCAGCCTTGGGCTTCTGAGAGTCTGGAGAAAAGGGAAAACTGAGATAGTCTTGCATTTTCGGATGTAAGTCAGTATGGAATGTATACGAAGGAAATGTCGGGGGTCCAAGTAGCACCTACGTAACAAAAAAGAATCATTAATATAAATTTTAAATTGACCATTATCAAATATTAAATAATGAATACCTACATCGGGGGATGGTTCTGGTGTTGCATCAGAGGGGCCGTGTGATGAATAACCCGCATCTGCAACAAATAAACACTATGAGTTAGATAACTAATAATTTACAAAAAATATTAAAATAATTTTTATATCTGCATCCGGAGATGGTGGCGTATCATCAGCACCAGTACCCGCGGTGATACTCCATGATCGATCACCCTCCGGGCTAAAGAGCCTCCTCTCCTTCCTCATCCTCATCTGCAAATTCAATTTTTAACATAGTTAAAAAAACATATATATACATAGATATATTATTATGAAATGCATTATTAATAATATTATTATATTTTGTTATTAAGAAAAAAAATATATACATTGTTTTTGTGTCATCTATCCTTTGGCCACCAGACGTACCAACACGCATATTTGGATCCTCGTCTTCAGTGATACCTTCCCCATGATAGTTCCAATATTTATATTTTTTTTATCAAAACCTGATTTTATTAGGTGGATTCGTATATCATTCCTATTTAGCAGCTTCATATTCCTACACCTGCAATAAGGACAATACATAGCATCGCTTCTTAAATTTCCCGTATTCATTTCAGCATAACGTATGAAGGCGTCACATTCCTCCTTGTATCGCGTGTCATGAAATCTATAAAGCCGTGGGATATCTATCCATGATTTGCCAGGAATTATCCTCATCTGTAAAATATATATAATTATTAACTACGATTAATATCATAACTACTAGTATATTCATGACTCTTATACATTGAACACACATCAAACATAAGTTCATATATTATTTAACTAACTACACTAATCTAGCGGCTGTCATAGGAAAGCTTCTATCCATTAAGAATATAGTAGTGCTTACATCCAACTTCGTATACTTTATATATTTTTATTTCTTGAAAATTTCGGCAACACTTACCCGATGTTCTCCCTGTATACCGTGCAGATGTTATTATGCGTATTAGCAATAGCCTAAAACGCAGAACAACATACGCTTATTGTATACGGAAAACAACGAATATGTGCTGCCCAAACTTTCCAGAATAAAAATATACAAAGCATACAAAATTGGATGTATGCACTACTATATTCCTAACCCGTCCGAGAAGGATAGATCCAATAATTATGAATTCAAGTACCAATTTTTTATTCGTATAATATAAAATAAACGATGATTTCCAGGAGAAGACTTCGTCTCCTACCCAAATATGAGTCGTCTATCTTATATTATAAGTCCAAAGAATTGGCCGTAATTATTGGACAGAAGTATAGGGATAACGTTTTTTTATTCATCTAAATTGGATTATAACATATTATTAAAAATTATAATGTGTTATATATCACTCTATTTTTTGAACTTAATCCAATATGGAAAAAAAAATTCAAGTCATAGTCGCAATACAATTATTTTCAATTACACATGAGCCATAATAATATGTACAAAAGATGAAAGGAGCGAGACAGTGGTAGATAAAAGGATGGAGGTAACCTAAAAGTAGCAAATAAGATGGTTTCCATTGGAATATTTTGGAGGTGCACACACAACTTGTCCGTTTATATGGGACAAGTAGTCTCAATAAAATCATGGAAATTACAAGCTCAAGAGAAATATAGAAGCTAACAAATATGAGGTGCACAATTAGATATGTACATAAATTAAATGGTACACCATACATAACTGCAATAAATTAACAAGGACGACTGCCACAACAAATTATCCTCATCAAAGAGGTATCTTCAGCTTAGAAATCATGATTTTAACTTCTAGATGTGCATTTAAATATTACAACATACATTAAATTACATGATTATACTTGATTTAGCTAAAGACCAGCACACCTAGTAAAACAGACACTTAAACCATGTACACATGATACATTAACCCTATTTTTCCATAGTAAAAAGCAGTTCACTTTAATGACTCCCCTCATAGTAACTTTACTGTCAACACCACTTTTCTTTTATGACTATGCATTAGTACTTGCTTTGAAAGTTCAAAAAAGCTATTTGTCTCGCGCGTGATGCATCACGCAAGAGAGGAGGAGGGTCAGAGGGACCCACGTGAAGTGGGTCCCACTGACCCTCCTCCTCTCTTGCGTGATGCATCACGCGCGAGACAAATAGCAAGGTTCTTGAAAGTTTGAGAAGTTTAACACATACTGAACCATAATTATTACGAACATAGAAGGATTTATAAAATATAAATGAGCTGAAAATTCTACCATAACGTTGGAAGACTGCATTCGCAATCACTAAAACAAAACACAAAAAAACTAAAGGAAGTTTAGTCAAAAGTGGGATGATAGTGAAAGGAAAAAAAAGTTCTATAAAAAATAAAATCCATGTAGTCGTGTTTATAAAATCATATAATGTTGTTCCTTATGATTAGCACAACCAAAAAAATGAGCTTTAACCTAGGAATTCACAAATCATAAGGAATACTGCAATAGAATTGAGAGCAAAATGCACCTCCAAAGAACACAATTAGTTTTCAACAAGACAACAAGCATCTTTTACGAGAACAATTCATGGAAGGTTGAAGGCAACAGAAGGAGAAATAATGGGGTTTAATACTAACACCTACTGAACCATTTGTTTAATACTAACACCTACTTAACCATTCTCCTGATGCTCTACAATTAGACCAATTACCTCTAACAACAACAATGCGCAAGCACAAAACTCAAAAGAGCTCTACTGAACTATAACTAAATTCATGCAGAGTCATTTAAATATCTGTACCTTTATGTTGCAGTCTTTTCTCCCATTATTACATGCTTCCGTTTATTCCATAATATGTAAGCTCAATAATCTATTTATTTCTCCCTTTCTATTGGGAGCTATACACATATATGAGGTTACTTGTGTAAGTGCACAGAAAGGAGAACTGACAATTCTTATATGTTTCTAGGCCTTCAGGTTAAGCTCATGAAGATATCTAATTGTAACAAAAGCTAAAAAAGAATCATTCTTATCAAGATAAACACAAAGCAAAGGGATTGCTTAGCACGATATAAGCATAATATAGGTTCTCATAGTAAAAGTCACAATATAATACATACACATATACATAGTAAATCAACAACCCCTAACATGGAACCAAAGATAAATTAATCGAAAAAATAAAATAAAATTAAACAACCAAGCTAAAGAGTACTTCAATTGTTCAGCTGAAGAAAGTTTGATCAGGATGAAATATAAACATTTAGCTAAATATCCTGGCCTAAACCAATTCATGCCGGGAGCTTTTACGTAATACATTAGCATAGAAAGCCTACAGCTATCTCAAGTTGAATCCAATATTGCTTTTCACATTAATGAACGGTCCAAGAGCAAAATCTAATTACTCATCGGCACCTAGTGCTAAAAATGCAATCAGACCAAAACTAGAACTGATAAAAATCTAATTTTTCCATCTATGCACCAAATAATTTCCCAAAAATAACAACAACAAAAAAATCAAAAAAATCTGACCTTGTACCGATTGATGAGATTCTTGAGATCTTTCTCTTGAGGAGTTTGCTCAGCCTCTCTAAGACCGAATGAGAGAGGCGAGGTGGGTCG